GCTTTCTCCAAGATCATCGTGGAGCTACGGAAGAAGCATCCAGGCCACATCCTGCCCGATGAGGACCTGCAGTGGGTGTTCGTGAATGCGGGTGGGTGGATGGGCTCCATGTGCCTCCTGCACGCCTCGCTGACCGAGTATGTGTTGCTCTTTGGAACCGCTGTTGACACCGGAGGCCACTCAGGTACGCAGGGGAACAGGGCTGGTGGGCAGGGTGTTTTTCTGAGCTCTTTTCACTCCACGGTCAGAGGTCACCTGGACTCAGGTGCAGCTGCCCTGACCATGGTGTGCCTGATGCAGGGAGCCCCCTGCTCTGCTCCTTTCATGGGCTGCAGGATGCTAGAAATCACCCTTTGCCTGGGGACCATCCCCTGTGGTGGTGTCCTGCAGCACTTGCAGGTCCCTGTGCATGTCACATTACTCATCCAGCTGGCAAGCAGTGGCGGGCATCGGTGCTTCAGCAGGGAGCAAATGCCAAACATGCTGGAAACGACGGAGCTTAAGGACGCTGAGTAGCCTGGGCTGGTGGCATGTGGCCAGTCACATGGGATGTGGATACCAGACCTTACTGTGCTCTTCGGTGTGTCGGCGCCCTGGGGCTGGCATCCTTAACCCTGGAGAGCTGCTCCACAGTTCAGACCTGGGCTCCAGAGCTGTCCCTGGCGGGGATGCACTGAGCCAATGCTGTCTGTCCTCCTGCAGGTCGGTACTGGGCAGATATCTCTGACACCGTCATCTCGGGGACCTTCCGGCAGTGGAAGGAGGGGACGACCAGAAGTGAGATCTACTATCCAGGTGGGCACAGCAGCCTCGGCACCCTGTGCAGGCTGCATCCACATCCTGGGGCACAGCCGTTATGTGAGCCGGTCCTCCAGTGTCGCAGAGACTCTTCCTTCCAGCTGGCAGAAGCCAGGCATTCAGGATGGGGCAGTTAATGTCCCCAGGGGCACATCCCAGCATGGCAGTGGGTGCCAGCAAGAGAAAAGTGACCGAGACTGGGGGTTGGAGGGTGTTGAGGTGCTTGGCCCTGCAGATCCCGATCGCACACATGTCCTCTTTGGGCATGATGCAGGGCAGCCGCTGGAAATGATGCTAGTTATGTGTGTTGGCAGGGGATACCATCGTGCACCAGGCAGGAGAGGCCACATCAGTGCAGTGGAGTGCAGGCACCTGGATGGTGGAGTACGGCCGGGGCTTCATCCCCTCCACGCTCGCCTTCGCCCTGGCTGACACCCTCTTCAGCACTCAGGACTTCGTCACCCTCTTCTACACCCTGCGCGTCTACGCCAAGGGCCTGCTCCTGGAAGCCAATGCCTTCTTCAGCACCTGGGGCTCCTGAGCCCGGCTCACCGGGGCACCCTGCCAGGCATGACTGGCTCCTCTCCTCTCAGCCTTCCTCCCTTTTCCTTCTCCCCAAGCCCAGGCTCTAGCAGAGGCAGCAGGAACACCCCCTGTGCCTCCCTCAAATTGCTCTGTCCTTCCCCATGGGTCATCTGGGTCCCGGGACAGAGGGACCGTGGTGGTCACAGCAATACAGACCAACGGTTCTCTTTACTACCTGCCTCTCACCCCTTTTGATTGGAGCCATGTCCTGCTTTTCCATCCCTCAGGGCTAGAGTAGCCTTTTGGGGTACAAACACCCTTATGTGCCGTTGACATGCAGCAGGAGAGGATCTGGAGCTGGTACTATCCCCAGGCTCCACAGAATTTCTGCAGCCGCTGAGACATCAGGAGGAGGATGCCGCCCTCAGAGCAGGGTGCATGGGGTGAGCTGGGCCAGAGCACTCATTTGTAAAGATCAGCCAAGAAGTTCCCCATCTCCCTGTCTCCTTGGCGTTCTGCCGGGGCTGCGACAGCACAGGGCGCTGTGTCCAGCTGGCAGCATCTACCGCTGCTCCATCCTCGCTGACGTGGGCTGGCAGCACACAGTGTCACCCTGGCACAGGGCAGGATCTCCTCTTGGGACGCCCTGGCAGTAGGGGGATGCCCAGCCTCCATGCTGAAGGTCCCTCCTGGTCCCTTGTGTGTCATCTGCCCCAGGGGACATCTGGGGCTGGAAGAGGGTCCCTTTCCTACAGTCCTCTCCTTGCAGTTCCCCCCAAAGGGGGGACAGCCACCGTCTGTCGCCTTAACCAAGAGCCCGTTGCACGTGGCCTCTGGGGATATGCACGTACCTAGTGTCTGCGGGTGCCCAAACCTCCGTAATAGCTCAGGATGGGATCTCACCCCTCAAAACACTTCCCCTGGTTGTGAGACCCCCAGGGAGTCTGGCCACCGAGGGAAGTGCTGCAGTCCACAGTCTGAGCCCAGCTGCAGACTCTGCTTGCAGCTCTGTGGCCAGACCTGTGTGTGCTCGTTGCTTGGTGGAGGGCTTTCACCTCCATGCTGCTCCCAAACTAATGTGTGTGTCCCTGGCCACCAGGCCTGTAGCATGTCACTTCTGCTCCCCAGACTGTCCCCATCCTGCTGACTGGCAGCCCTGCACACAGGCTGCTTCTGAGTTTGCCACCTGAAAAGAGATTACAAGTAATAAAATCGGTCATCAAACCCACTCAGGTCCCCGGGAGAGTCTCTGTAAGGTGCTGAGCCCCTGCCATGGGGAATGGTGCTGGATCTAGCCAGGTCTGAGCTCAGTGGGGTCCTGCCAGCATCTGAGGACAGTTGAGTGTCGCCAGGGAAGCTGGCATCATCCTGGGAGCTGGGGAGTGCGGTGCTGGGCAGGATTAGCGCCATCGGAGCTCCCGGGGCCCAGCGGGAGATGATGCTGTTACTTCTCTCACTGCTGCAGTGGCGAGGGTCCAAAAGCCTGGGCTGGTGCCAGGGCCCTGCTTCCATCTGGGACCCAAGAGGCCAGGGTGGGGTTTCCCTCCTTTTGGGGTACAGTGCAGATGCTGGGCGTGTGGCTCCGAGGGTGGATGGGCCGAGACATAGCAGGCTGGTGATTCTGAGAGGATAACACAAATACACATAGGTGCACCCCTGCAGTATGAGACGGGCAAAGGAGGGAAACGGGGTATTTTGGTGGGGGGAGCTATGGGGGTGTGCACACGCGAGTGAAAAAAGTGTGTGCACACGCGTGTGTGTGTGCAACGTCCACAGTGTACAGACCTGCAGGACAACCAGCTGTAGGCGTGTGCGTGCCTTTGTGCCCATGAGCAGACCGTGTGCGTGCACACAGGCTGTGTGTGTGCGTGTGTGTCCCCAAGGGCTGCGAGGCCACCCTAGCCCCACGCTGTGCCTGCTCCCTGGGGTTTAGCACAGCCCTGTCGAGGAACATGAGCAATCCTGCGCTGGCCCACACGGGAAGGCGCTAACTCAGCAGCTCGTATCAATACTGCTCCACTTACAGCGAAGGCCGCGTAATGAAAATCCAATGGGCACGCTGGTGGGAGTAAATAAGTATGCCATTAAAATGAGAAAATCAAAGCTCTGGACAGGTCTTTTCTCTTGCCCATTGATTTCTTTTATTACGGAAATATTGCTGCTAAATAACATTAGTGTGAACAATCTCAGCAGTGTTTTCCGTAGTGCCCGTGTCAATAACACCATCACGGGCGGGGGATACCCCCCAGCCTAGCCATGGGGTCAGCAGCCCTGTCCCGGCAAAGAGCTGCTCCAGGGGTACGTTACTCACCATTCCCAGCTAAGCTGGTACGTGGTCCACAGAAAAAAAAAAGGCAGCATGGGATGACTTTGGCTGGGTTTGTGCATGGTCCAAAACAGGCAGGACACAGGAACAACCACAAACCAAGGCTGAATTGCAAAGAGTAAATTTATTCTTGCTACCTGAGAATCTCGAGAATCTTTGCAGCAGCACCCAGGCAGAGGCATGGGAGCTCACACAAAGCAGCACGACGAACAGCAGCGCAGTCCCAAGGAGATCTCTTTAACGCGCTGCTTTGTTATGTTTAACATGTTGCTTTGCCTGAGTTCCCAGGATTCACGCGATAGCTTTGCTTTGTTCCTTCCCGCAGCAGGGCAGGGATGCAAGAGATGCCCTCGCATCTATCCCAGGCCTCTGTTATCTAGGCGCAAGTGTGCTGCTTATCAAGTACACGAGGCCAAGCAGTTACCTCGTGTGATGTGTGTGTTTTCCGACACCCCAGCCGCAAGTCGTTCGAGTGTACCTACAATCTTCCTCGCCAATCTTCTGTTATATTCCCACAGCTGGGATGCAGGAGCACTGGCTGCTTTGCTGCAGCGGGAGGGTTTGACCCCATCCCAGCACGGAGCAGACATAGTGTCAGGCATTTAAGGATCCCAAAGAACAGCCCTTCCCTTCAAGATGGATGTTTGCAGCCTGTTAAGGAGCAGGTAAGTGTCTCCAGTGAGCAGCAGATGAAAGATGGGTCTTGGACACAACCTGTCCCAGATGCTTTCTGACTGTGCCCCTTCGCACTCCTCATCCATGCCCAATTCCATGCTGGATGGACCTAACTTCCCATGGCTTGCCACCATTTGGTTCACATGGAGAAACCGAGGCACAGGGCAGGAACACGTCCACAGTCTCCCACCTCCAGCACAGCTGCTGTGCCAGGCCCAGGGCTTGCCCTTATGCTGAACTTCTCCCCTCTCACACACAGGCACTCATCATTCTCCCAGATGCACACAGCTGGCAGGGACATCCCTGCAGGGCCAAAGGATTCGACCAGGACACACAGGAGATACGCACCCTTTGGTACCCAGAGGCCAAGTGAAACCCCAGGGCATTTCGAGGGATGCCAGACAGCTGTGACGTGGCCAGAGATGGGAAGAGACCAAGCCACAGGCACCTGTAGCATGGGTCCAGCTCTGTCCCAGCCCCAGATGAGGCATCTCCCCAGAGCTGTTGTTAGACAAATGCACATCGCTGCCCACCAAACACCTATCCCCTGCAGCTCGCTCTGTCTTGCTGTCCCTCCACATGCAGTGGGTATTGATCAGCCCACACGATCTATCTTCCGATTCCTCTTGCGGTATCTCTCTGTTCCAAGTATCTCTCAATCTGCTCCGCTGTCTGCCGTGCCCGTCTATACCTCTAGTATCTATCTGTGCCGCCTCCACTGCAGCCATCGATAGCTGTTTGTCTGGGGGCTTTCTCCTTCTCTCCAGCTAGGAGAATCACCAGACTCTGGTGGTGGGAAGATGCCAAGTGGGAGGATGGAGAGGACATGGTCCTGCTTTCTGCCCCAGGGATAGCCTGAGCACAGACCCACTGTGACACACATGCAGACCTCTATGGCTGCTGTGGAAGCTCTAGGAAGAAACTGAGTTGTGCTGGTCCAGTCACGCCAAGTCCCCCAGCGGCCATCCCCGAGGCAATGGGACATGCTGCAACCTCCAGCCACATCCCCTGGGTGCTATGTCGACCTAGGCACCCCAACTTTTCTGCCTTTGAGGAGAGGAGCTTCCCCAAATGCTTGGGTTCCTGCTGGCCCATGGAGAAGTCCCATCACCATCACCGTGTCTGACTCATCCTACCCAGCCCAGCCTTCAGCTCAGGCTCCCTTCTCGTCCCAGTGTGCAGGGGACTGAGCACAGCCAGGGACAAAGCGTGCCAGCACCTTGGGGTGCAATTTGTCATCACCAGGAGGGGATGCTGGAGCCTATGGGACAAGATACAGGGCGGTGGCGGAGGGGAGCCGCCTGGACCTGTGGATCTCTTTGAAAGGGGCCAGGTCTTGTCTTTCAATGGGCTTTTCAGCCAGAATGTCAGCCAGCCACCTGACTGGTGCTCAGCCAGCCACCTGACTGGTGCTCAGAGAACCTGACAAGCGTCTGGAGGTCCCTACCCCTGCCACAGAGAGGTGGGATACACCAGGGCGAGCTACTGAAATAGGATGGCAGACAGCTAATTTGTCTCCTGTGCAAAGACAAACAGTGCACAGAGGCCCTGGAGGGTTGGGAGCTGCCCTGCTTCCAGGGGCAAGGGGCTCATTTTTCCAGAGGAACCTCTCTGGTAAGGATGCTGTACCACGCTGGGTGCTGCTGGGCTGTTAGGAATTTGAGGAGCCCCAGCAGTCACCAGTGCCCTGCGAGGACAAGACACAATTTCTTCAGGTTCGAGGCAGGGAAAAAGGAGAGAGCCCACAAGCAGCAACATTTCTCTGCAAAGGGACACAGTACAGGGGGCAAAGGCTCATCCTGGCCTGCATAGCTTGAAAGTGATCCCGATGCAGCTGTGGCCAGTGGCTGTTTCCACAAGGTGCTTCAAGGAAAAGCAGAACTTGGTTTGCACCAGCTGCTCCTGCCCCTACAGCATGCAGGTGGCCCCAAAGGGGACAGAACCAGCTGCCCTTGGCAGCAGAGCTCCTGTCAGTTCATGTCACCAACACCCAGTGCAAGTGCATAAGGTCTTGG